TACATGATAATAGCTTCCTATATTTCGAAGTCGCGCAACATATATAGAGCTTGTTTTGCACAGCCCAACTCCAAGAATTCATAGTGGCCATCCCTAGCTCAAAAAATGCATATGGAGCTGGAGCTATGGAAAGTCTGAAAGTATCTGGCCAAGCCCTTTTTGTTCTTATTATTTTATTAAATACATATGTTTAAAAAACTTTATTTTATCAAATCTTACTATTACTAATTAGATGTCTCTAGAGGAGCCTCCACGTTAATCAAATCACGAGATATGTTAACAAAGATATCTTACAAATTCTAAAAAAAAATCAGAAAGATATGGCCATGGATTTAGTAGATTCTAATCATCAATGATATATAATGATATAACCACTAGATATATTTGGTTTGTAAAAAATACCAAGATACGCTATTATGAAAAAAATTGGGTCCTGTGCAGGCAGGCTCCTGCTATTAGCGCACAAAGGACGAACCTGCGTGCTACTCAGCGTTTTCCATTGCTATATCCGGTAAGAAACTGGAAGACAAAACTATTTGGTCCTTGTTTAGATTGCCTTAAAGTTCCAAGTTTTTTCACTCTCTTTTCATTACATCAATTTTTGCGCATGTATGGAGCATTAAATGTAGATAAAAAAATTAATTAATTGCACAGTTTAGTTGTAAATTACGAGACGAATCTTTTGAGCCTAGTTAGTCTATAATCGAACAAAAGTTTGTCAAATACAAACGAAACGTGCTATAGTGTCCAGATTATAAAAATTTACAATCTAATAAGGCCTTGACTATTTTGGTGGACCGGTTAGCTACCACACCTGGGTAGGCAGCTACCACCTGTTGTAGTTGGATATTTCTTTTATATATATCTTCGTCAATCTCATATTATCCTCCTGCTCCTATCCATAAGTTAATTAACATGAGAAGGACGACTTGTTTGACCAATGACCATGGATTTATCAGAAGAATAAACAGCACTATTAGCAAAGTATACCACACGCTGTCGACGATCCTGTTCAGCCTTTTCGCTGGTTGATCCTTTTCGCTGGTTGATTTTTAGGCGGATAAACTCGGTTGATGCTGATTTGTTGTGAGAAAAAATACTATTGCATAACTAATAAGCTTGACTGAAACCAACAAGAGATCAAATTGGATAACTTCGGTGTACCAGTACCTAGTCGTAGTGTACCGTTGATGGAGAAAGCTAGCTACCAGAGCAACGTCCTAGCTCAGCTGGGCTAGACAAATTGGCTCGAACTAGTAGTGCCATTTACCTGTGCCGGTTGTTCATGCTGCAGACGGCACTGTTTAAGTTACAACTAGCACTACACCTAACGTTCGCACCGCCTACACCATACAATGCCACCGCCAACCAAAGCAAACCACGAAGTCCTTGAGTAGCATCCGCTCCAGAATCACATGAAAATGGGCTATAGGACATAGATCAGTCACTGCAATTTGCAGCATATGCAAATACGGAGTATAAGACTAACATACTCGACTCTCGAGGTCTTGCTGCCATGGTTCGGTCAGTCGTCGTCGTATAGGAGGAGTATGGGGCACGTTGGGGCTATGGGGTCTGGGCTTTGACAGACACGCATCTCAACAGCTGTCATAGAGGCCCTAGTCCTGATTACCAACATACTACATTATGACCAACTCGTACGTGCTACTTTACGACGGTAGGAGTCGTAGTAGATTATATTCCTTCCCTCCTCCTCCTCCTCCTCCTCCTCCTCCATCTTTCTTCCTGGACAACTCGGTCCATCTCTGATTTCTCTCCTCTGGACATTGATCCTGCTGCCGGTCCTTGGTTTCTTGCAAGTTGGCAGCACTAGCAGTTGTACAGCAGCGAGAGCATAAACCCAGGAATCCAATGCAATTATGCAAACCATGCATATGAATCTTGTTGCCCCAAAAGACTAAACACATGTTCATACATACACCTGTTGAGAAAAGAAGGGGGAGGAAAGGACGACAGTGCACCTGCACCAGCTAATCATATATATATATATATATATATATATATATATATATATATATATATATATATATATATATATATCTGTCCTCCTCCGATCCATCCAGGTTTTCAGATTCAGAAAAAAGGGGACGACCAATGCCATGGTATGTGAATTGACAGTGCAACGGTACCGTCCTGAATTATTTGTCAACAAACACACCTGGATATAGGAGTTTATCGGGTGGTTGTGATGTCAATAATTCAGGTCTGCCTGATCTGGTCAGACCTCTCACAAGGACACACCGCTGAAATTTCTGCTGCTGCCGTTTGTGCCAGCAACTGAGAGTTATGTTTTGTGCTGCTGTCCGTGGCCAGAAACTATTCAACCGTGCTGATAAGTCGCCCATCATTTAATCTGACTGAATTTGGAGAGGAAAAAAAAACTCAGGACTGGACCATCATCATCTTCTGCTCTGTCTTCATGATTGATCCCTGCATCCTTCGCTGAAAAGTTTAGGTAACTGCGGCTGCATGGCTTTTTCAGTAGTCAAGACAAGTATGATGCTACGATTACTACAGTAGTTTATCACAAGAAAAGCGAGAACAGGCCGGGTCACATGTCGGTGTGCCAGGCTCGCTATCAGTTCGGCATCATTCGGTCTAAGAAAATATGAACTCACATGTCGTTGTGTCAGCTTGCAGTGCAGGCTTTTGTCCAGTCCCAGTTAACTATGACAGGGCCAATTTGGTCATGTTGTGCAGGTGCCTGAAATGGATCCGTTCAAATCTGGCCAGTACTGTAGAGGAACATGATGCTGCGATAATGGTTCCAGTCCCAACTCCCAACAAACCCCATTGCACCGAATGAACTCCTTGTACTCTTCTGTTCATCATCTGAATCACATGGCAGCCGGCCGATCACAGCGACGCAGTAATCAATTGCACTTCGGAGGACACTAGCAGCAAAGTGAAGTGATCATCATACAGGATGCCGAGGCCATCTGCTTCCAACAACCTGTTTGTGGCTCATTCTGATGCTAAAGGGACCGCATCTTAAGAAGTTAAGATCCTCCAAAATACATATAAGCTCATGCGTCTTTATGCCTCATGACGCATCGACGTCATATCAAATATAGGTTCCAAAAGGAGATAGAATCTAGTCAAGAATTCTCACCAGAGACATGTGCTTTATATTCTATGGTTTGGAATTTACATAATATAAGGAATCGAACAAAATCTTGCTATATACTAAGCACTACAAGGTTATTATATTACAATGGTCTGTGGCCCTTAGTGTTATTATTCCATCATTGGACTCTCCCACCAGCTTCCATGGAATCCAGTGCCTGGCTCGTGCTCCTCATTTCCGCTGCACCAGGACTGTGAAAGGAACCGTTATGAATCGAGCTGCGACGGCTCATGTACGTGGGTTGCACTTGGTCGTCACCCTCTGGCTCACCAATGTGTCGGAAATATGCGTGAGGCCACAATCCTGACCACAGAATAGGGTGAAACTATTAACATTTAACAATCATTGAACAAGGTGAAACTATTAACATTTATCAATCAATCCTGACAGAGCTATAAAGACAACTCCCTTGCAGCTTCCTGATACGGGGGTGGGGGTGGAGTGGGGTGCACACATGATACTTTTACTAAGGACTCGATTCTCATAGGTCGTAAGTATTCCTCGCTATTTTTGTTTTCTACCGAGAACTACAAATCATCGCATTAAATAAAAGAAGGAAAAGAATCTAAGATGATTCATAGAATAACCCACCTGTGATGCCCAGATACACGGATGCAGACACAGGTACGACGTAGGGTGTTTGGTCTGAGGAATGAGTTGGTCTATCATCTTCTAATTATTTTTTTGTTTGTATAGAATGTAATGTGTTAATCTATCTTCACATCATTTCTCATAAGCTAATAATTAATATGAGGAATGGAGTCATTCCACTATTTAAAAAATAAATAAACTCACCCTGTACCATCAATACACAATTTTCCAAAAATACAGGTACGGGCGATATGCCAATATATAAAAAATATAAGATTAAAGATACCAAAATTAACACACAAATTATACATAATTTGTTTAGGGCATAACATTCAGACCAACAAGTTGCCAAGACCCCAGTTGCAATAGCTAGGTTGTTGGCGACAGTTAACCACCATCGGTAGATACAGAAGCATTTGAACTAGCCACCATTGGATCTGAAAAGGGCCCTTATACTGAGCAAATGAATGGTGATAGGTGTCAAGGTATCCCATAGGTACCCCGGTGAGGTATCTCAGGAGCATCTAGGTTATTCTTATTAGTATCTAGAAATTGAGTAAATTTTCAATTTTCGATACACCTGGGATACATATCCTCGGAGCATCTGTATCCGTGGAGTATCCAATACCGGCATGTGAGTTTTGCGAAGTATCGCGCTTACTCAAACGCCCACCAAACCATTCTATGAAAATAATGCATAATGGATACAAAGTTTCCAGGACAGCGAGCAAAGGGCACAGTTGGTTGACCGTGGCAGTAAACAACACAGTCTAATTGAGCCCATGAGACTCGAGAGCCTGCAAACTTGGTTAGTTGGTTTGTACCTATCTATTACTTTGAATGGCTGGCATTTTTCAACTTTTTATTGGAGGATCCCTGTGCACAGGATTAGGCTGCCAACTGCTAACATAACCTTTTGAAAATTTGTTTCTTAGTCCTTTAACCTAAACCTATCTTCTCTCCTTGCCATGCACATTGAACTCATCATCTTAGTTCGTGCAAGGACTAGCAATGACAGGGTGTATACCAGGACAAACTGTCAAAAATCAAGGCACTGCACCGTGTCCTATTTTCATGCATGATCCCTGCCAATACAAGTGTTAGTTCTAGTCCTCTTCCCACACAGCCTGCCACATCCAGGGGCTTTCTTACTAACTAACAGCAGTACTACGTAGCGCCTTTGTCAGTCTCTCTATACTCATGACACTGCCAAAGCAGGAGCATGCTAGATGCTAGACACAAGTGTCCAATTCAGGAAGAGTTAAAAAAGATCAAGGGACAGAAGAAAGACCCTAGGTGCAAGTTTTCCTGCAGGCAGAGTGGCAAACTAATTTTATGAAAGCTATTAACTCTGAATATTTCTCTTGTAGATAGCAAAAATCCTGATCCAGAGCATTTCGAGGCAGGTTAAGAATAACTTCCATAAGTATTATTACAACTGTTGAAATTGAAAATATCTATCAACGATACCCCAATTATTTAGTTAAAAACATTCTTCAGGGATGTTAGTCCAGCTGCAGTAGGTTTATATCAAAAGGGGATTGTCATTTGATTAAAAATGAAACTCTTCCTTTCATAAACATTTGATCATTAGTTCACAGCATGATTGCCATCATTCACCAAACGTATGGCACCTCACAAATTATACATAAACATTGGGTGATTATTTATCTTTCAAGTCCAAGCTTGATTGTTTTTTCATTACTTGGAGACAACCTCAAGTAAACCCAGGATAGACACCCCCAACCAAGTATTCACTATAATTTGAGATCAGCAAATATGGACAGAACATTGAGCACAATTTATCAAGGACGGAGTTAGAAGCATACCTTTTTCATCAGATGGTAGTGGAAAAAACTGCAGGTAGCAAATGGAAGCAACCATCAACCCTGCACATTGCAACAATAACTTAAACTTTGAGAATCGTATGTACATACATTTCATAAAACATTAACATTTCCATTTCTTTTTGGTGCCTGTGGAGGGAATGGGAGGGGGTATTACTTAAGACTTACCAAGTAATCCACCAGTACATACGTCTTGCCAGTGATGCCAATAGTCATCAACTCGAGAAACTGCCACTAAGGCTGCAAGAAGCAGAGGGGAAAGGACAATGCAGAGTTTTGCAACATGCCCTTTACGATCAAATACTTTGATTTTACCAGCCAGATACCATGAAAGGAAGCCAAGGCCAGCAAAAGACCCTAAGATAAACATAAATCTTTGAGTAATCCACCAAACAATAACAGCTGGAATGAAAAGCTCATATGACTCAAGAGAGAAGAATAACATGTGCTATGAAATGTTAATGAACCTCCATGAGATTTTGAAACAGTTAGGAGGTAAATATGAACTGAACGAGATTGAGGCCACTGTATGGCTTGAGGGAATCAAATGGAGCAGCATTACTACCACCAACGCGAACTAGCATGCCATAATATTTCAAGGTGGGGCCAAAAATAGTAAAGTACATTGAGCAGCCAAGTATAAACAAATAAACTGCTAATCTTACAATTACTAGGAACAGGACGCACAACACACTGGTACAAAACAGCTTGAGGGGAAGTGCGACTCTGGAGACCAATTGGGTCCTCAGCGGTCGAGCTAGCCACTAACGCGGAGATGGAGCCTGCCGGTCCTAGGGCCCCGGCTATGTGTGGAAATGATTGTTTAGCTTTTGTTTTACTGTCTCTTCTAGCAAGTGTTAATCTTATTATTACCAATTACTTATTCCTTTTGGAACCCCAATGTCAATTCTTACAAGACGCGCTAGAAAATAAGATAAATCCTAGAAATTCTCACAAAAAATAGAAACAACTAACCATCAATTCTATAGACTCCAATTATCAATGATAGTAATAGACAATGGATCTATTTTGTTTTCTAAATAACTATTCATCTCCACCATTTTGAAAAATAGTGTAAAGTAACCCCTATACCTATATCTAAATTATCCACCTCTTTCATTATGAAAAAATAACCTAAAATAACCCTCTAAATCTTCATCTAAATGACTCACCTGTGCCTTTATGAGAAATAATCTAGTTCACATATAAAATAACTTTCTAAATCTGTTTCTAAATTACCTACCTTTGGCATTACCCACTTCTTCAATTGTTGATATAAAAAAAACACAAGGTATACTGCGTAATGTGTGTCACAATGCAGACCGCGTATACATGTATGCAAGAAGCGATGAGTATAATTGATTTCCATGTTAAACACATAGCTCAAGCTAAGGATTTAACTAAACACATGTCAAATATGCATGAAAGTGCAATCCAAAGGGTAAGGACTATGAATGGGGACGGAAAAACATATAGAGTAATTGGTAATTTTAGTTTATCACAATCACATAAAGATTACAAAGCACCTATACGAGTATTGATTTAGAATACAAGAATAAACGAGGGATAACAAAGATAAGCAACTTTTATTAGTCGTAGGTCCTAAATTTATCCACAAACTTGTAACACTTATGTCTATTAAAATTACTATCCATGCAGGAGCACGGGTTGATGGGCTACTTTGTCAATATATGTAGATTATGCTTATACAGAAAATTATCAGCATCACATTTTTATATTATCAACATAATTCGTACTATCATTTGCAGCAGCAATCTTTTGTGTCAGGCTGACTTCAACTTTTAATTTGTACACTCAACGGAAGAGTGAAAGAAGGATGCAATATTTGACATAAAGGGCAAAGAGGATCACATGGACAGATAGAAATGGAAAAAACATCAATATATTTGTTTCTTGAGAACTCGATTAAAGAGACATTGTATACAAAACATATGAAACATCTTGTCCCATACTATTAGCTGATTAAGAAATATTCAGCAGTAGCTAAAACAAAGATTGGAACCTAGAAAAAGAGGCATCAATTATTATGTTCACTAAACTGCTGAGAAGGTAGTTAGCGCAATCATAAAATAGGACATTTCCCAAACTGTTAATTCTAGTAACATGGGGCTAATCCCTATATTTGTAAAGAGTAATGTCACTTACATGAAGTATGACCACTTGGAAAGCTCTTATGACCTTCTTTAATAACACTCGCCTCGCCATGGCATATGGCGCCTGTAGTAAAGTTGTTATAATCCTAAAGGCCAAGTAAATTCATAAGCTCTCTTATACAATTCACATGCAATGTAATTGCACAAGGGCTTCAAGTGAGTAATTATTAAGGTCTGGCTAGAAGTTATGAATCGTACAGGTATTCCATCAGGGAAGCAACGCCAGAAGAAATCCGGACGTGGTCGCCCAACACCATCCTTGATCGCATCAGTTAAAACAGCAGTGATAAGCACTGAAAATAGGAGACCTGCGGACAAGCTAGATTTGAGAATAAATAATAAATGGATAAACTAGCACGACGAATCAGGCAAGAAAGTGGGTGTACCTAGTATGGCATGATGCAGATCATATACATTTCTCTTCTTAAAGTATATCGCTGTTATGATAATGATAGGCCCAATGATACCAATTATCTGAATAAGCGTGATTGAAGAAAAGGTATTCAAGAGGTTCATCGGAATTGACAAGGTAACACTACAAGAGAACAGTATGTTACCGGCACAGCCCAAAATGGCACTGTGTTGTCCTTCATGGGGTATCTGAGGTCTGTCATCATTTCTGATCCGACAAAGCGATGGAATGGTTCTATTATATTAAGAACTCCATCCAATACAGCTAGAAGAACTAGCACAACCCAGTCATACGTGTGTAGGCGTGCAACTTTGGATCCATGAGATGTTATATAGGGAGTTGGAGCTCCCAGACTAATTGGTGGGGCTGGTGCTGGCATTGCCTCTTGAGTCCTGTAATTGTTAACCAACTGAATAAATTTACGAAATCCACTTGATAAATTAGAAATTCAATACACGATTTGTCACAACAACATGTATACAGTCAACTGTAAGGATTTCAGTTTCCTCATATCTAAGAGGTATTAAGGACTACTATAAACTAGCAGACAAGAGCTATTTGTGCCTTTATTTTCCTATAAACTAGCAGACAAGAGCTAAGGCTTTATTATCGTCTACAGAGTAGTGCAATTTTAATTCATGGGAAAATAGTTGTGCAGTTTGACTCAATTCTTGTTAGATACAGTAAGTATATTACTTATTACTTCACCCAAAACTTCATAATTGATGTGCAATTCATCAAATACTCAAGGCATGTTCAGGAGCATTAACCAATTAAGAGTCTGCGATGGAAGCACGAAGCAGAGCAACATATCAAAACCAGAATGCCTAGACGGAAGCACATTAAGCAGCCGTTTAAAGAAGCAAAGAGGAAGAGCAGGAAACTAATTATTGCCAACCTGTTCCACCAAAACGAGGACAAAGCTATCTATCCGGTGGCGCCGAGACGCTAGCGCGTGCTCGATAGTCTGCCGCCGCCGAGGTCTTGCCGTCTTGGGTTCGTGTGGAAGTTAATCACGACAACTCCACAAGATGCTTGGGCCCTTTGGCTCCGCGTGCTCTCCCCTCTTCTCCCGCAGCGCGGCTGCAGTCTGCAGATGACACAACCATGAGGAATCGACAGCAAGCGCAAACAGAAACAGCAATACCACAAATACAAATACAAATACATAAATAAAGTACCAGCGTATGGCAACCTTTGCTTCCTCCTCCGTCCTCCTTCGGTCCTCCCCTTCTCTTTTCTAGCCTCCTCTTGGCTTGTGCAATGGCGCTACTGATACCATGAGAGAAACCGAGTATGCGACGCCATAGAGGAAACCGTCCACGCCGGGCCAAGAAAGTCGCATCTGGCAGGAGTTTCCCTCCGCTGCACGCACGCATGCGAAAATTTTGACGGGCCAGATGTCCCCGCCCGGCCATCACCGGCGGCGCCGCCGGTTGAAGAATGGCCAAATATTCGGGGACGCGGCAGTTGAAATTTGACCGTCTGGTGGGGATTTCGCGGCTGCCTGGGGAAGGAGGTACCTGGGTCTATTTGGTTCGTGACCAAAAACGTCTACCTGAGGTCTGTTTTGGTCACCGAACAGGCAGAGTCTGGGAGTTGGGACTTGGCTGGCGTAATGGCGTCAGCTACTTTGGGCCATGGGCTTCGATCTGGCATTGGGCCGTGGTATGCGTGGTTTGGGTACGCCCAGCTAGACAAAGTATGTACTAATATGAGTAAGCTGATCTGTTGTACTGCAGTGTTAACGCCGCATGAGAATTGACCAGAAATTTCCTCTCGTCTTCCATGCGGCAGCGTCCTTGTTGGGCTGAGGCCCAGCGCGTGAAGGGATGCTATTGAACGGCCCGGATCAACTGACTGCATAGGGGAGTCGACAAGGACGACTGTCTGTAGACAATCCGATTCCCAATCGGAATCGGCCAACCCTGCACTGTGCACTGCAAGCGAGGTATCAAGGTTCAGGGGTTTTCTCCCTCACCTCTGGCGAGCTGAGAGGGGGGCGCGGCGCCTAGCGAGTTGGACGCAGCGAGGTGTGACTAGCTAGAAGGATTCTCTGCATCTGGACCTTGGGGTTTTCTCTGCATCTGGACCTCGGGGGGCGCCGCGCTCGTCTCCTGTCCTTCTAGCTAGTGGGATGAAGGACGTAGTGGGTAGCCCGGGGACCTGGAGCGGCCGGGCGCTGCGGGTGGCGCAATGCGCTTCCGCCGCCGCGTCCCTCCGAAGCCTTTTCTCCGACTCTAGTAGATTCCTGACCTACACTGCCCCCCTGTAAGACGAAGCACCTCAATTTTTCATTTTCTGGTGGTTTCGCGTTTAGTTTAATTGGCCTCTCCTTGTTTCACAGATACATGCTCCTATCGGTGGCCTTGCAGCTGATTTGGAGTTTCTGCCTTATGTGTGTTGATATATGTTCGCTGTGGAAAAAACTTGATCTTCACTACCTTGAGGCTGTTTGGCCAATTGTTATTGGCGACTGGGTAAGTGTTCCTTTTCTTCGTTTTGTTGTTTAGCCACCACCTACATTCGACTTCCAAAAGCATAAGACTGAAAGTGGAGTTCATGCTCCATTCAGATAAAAAAAAAAAGCTCTATTCAAGATGCAAGTATATAACTGTAGTATGGAGAAGTATAGGAACACGCTTATCCTGACGAATTACTATAATCTACACCAGTAATAACTATAATAAAAAGCAGTAAATATGTTTTTCATCAGCTTTTTCCTGCAATTGTTACTGTTGCGGACGACCCCTCGTCAGTCTTTCAGTGCAGAGGTAGTGGTGTCTAGGAAAACTACTGTACACGGAACGCTTGGCGACATGATACCTAATGGGTGTGTTTGTTTGATTTGGAAAATAATAATAATAATGAGTGTGTTGAATTTGCAGAAGAATAATGGGTGTGTTTGATTCGAAAAAAAATAATGGGTGTGTTTGATTCGCAAAGAAAAATAATGGGTGTGTTTGATGCAGTTCACGGCGATCAGTTCACTGGCAGCCGCTTCTGCTTTGGCCGGTGTCCTCGTGTTTCTGGAAAGAGACACCGATTTATGCAGAGTAGCCCTGCGTCGAGGCCCTTGTGGACAAGACACGCCTACAATCATCCCGGCGTTCATGACATGGTCATTTTAGCTGCATCGGCTGCTTCCTCGTTTTGGCTATTGGCTTCACTTATCTAGGAGTGATGGCTTGTGTTTTATCAGTGTCACTAGTAGCTGGCGCGGACCACTGCGCGCGTAGGTTTGATATGTTTGAATTTGTGATCTGTTATGTGTTATGAGATACTTATTATCGATTGCTAAAGCTACATAGTTAACAGTTGTGAGTATTAGTGTCATACACACAAATAGTCCGCCACCCTTGCAAGGAATGGTCTATGGTTTAACAATGGTAGCAAGTACATAAACATGTGCTGACATTATTACATAGAAGTGTTCATTACTAGTTTAGAACTCTGGATTGCGTTGGGTCTCAGTTGCAGGAACTGATTCTTGTCAAGCTGAAGTTCCCTGACAGAGGCATGCTGTAAATCAATAAATATCATTTTGTGTTTGGGTAAGCGAATGAGAATTTTCTGTGAAACTGTAATTCATCTTAAGCTTAGATGCATGGTGGCTGCCTGACTGGTGAGTCGCAGTTGCAGCAAATGAGCTATTTGACCTGTCTCCTACATAATTTTTCTAGTTATGTGAAGCGATTACCTATTCGCAAGGAAATGTATAAGTCCCATGAAGCACCCTGGCCTTGTGACGGTTATCTCTTTTTTTCCCTTTAGCTTGTTGTTCATGGCATCTTCGTATACATAAATAAACAAGGATAAATACATAAGGTTGGTAGAAATGTGAAAAAAGAAGCTAGTTGAATTTGTCACGTAACAGTTAGTCAGTTGGCTTTGTTCTAGGAATTAGGAAGAAAATGTTGTTCACCTGCTTCATCATCAAGTTGGCTGTCTTCGGGTAGACTCTTGCAAGCAGCTGGGCTCAATGAGGTTTTGTTTCTCTCGCCTGCTAACAGATAAAATTTAATCTTCACTCGCAATGCACGGTGATTGTTGGAAGGCTGAAACTATATATTTATATTATTCATGTAGGTTGAATGGATACGCGAAGATGAATATAGCAGCATCCAAAAGTGTGTCATGGTCCACGAATAATTTGTATGAGAAAGGGGAAAACCTATGAATAAGAAACTTTTCAAGATAGTGCACCCAGCTAGTAACAAAACCCCTTATTCGAATTTATAGCAAAACAGCAGAACCTGCAAGGGATGTAAAATGTCAGGAAGCCATCTTGACCAGGGGTCAAAAGTGATGTATAAGCAGTCAGTGCCAACGGAAGAATAATCAAAGAGTGTAAATATAACAACAGAAGAATAATCAAGGAGTGTAAATACAACTGTAAATGGCACAAATTAGGCACCAGAAACCAGAAAAATGCAGCTTGCAAAAGCTCCTAACAGGAACAGGCATGAAACTGATCCACTCCTGTCAACCAATGCATAGGGAAATACAAATCGAATGGAAAAACACACGTTAGGCTCATCGAGTATATGAGGTAAAAACAAAAGCTGTAAACCTAATCTAGGATTCTATACCTAGCAGGAAGCAGCAAATCTAATACAACGATCTCTCTCTCTCTCTCTCTTTTTGAAACTTCCGGCCTTTTCATTACTCATAAGCATCAGCTAAATCGCTGAGCACAAGATCCTCAACTCCTTGAGGTACATCATCTCAAGTGATACAGGATTCACATGGACAGTTACAACCAATAGCCGCAACAGCATGCGCTACTTTATTACAGAGACGATGACAAACACTAATAGAACAAGAAACAAGTTCAGAAGCTATTAGATGCTTTATTTCTGTGACAGCCGGTATTCATCTCCCTCCACTGCCTCCTTCACCATGGTCGCATCCGTTTCTATGCATACTGAGCAATGCCCATTCTTGCAGCTTCTTCAGGCCTGCTAGGAAACCCAGTAGTTCAGCATGAAAAGCGTCAGTGAGGAAATGTCCAGCAGCTGCGCCGGCTTTCACCACAGCCCCCCGATCATCCCTAATGACGAAGCCCCACCATCCAGTCCTCTCATTGCATTTAAACGCCCCGTCAGAATTAATCTTCAGCACTCCTTCCGGTGGTTTTAACCATCTGTAAGTCTGACGTATTTCCGGCACTCTGCCCTCTCGATTCAGTGATGAAATTTTCGTTGTCTGGAATTTATCAGCTTGAAGTGCAGTGATGAAAGCTACTTCCGTTGCTAGCCGCTGGACTCCTCCTCTGAAACTATTCAGTTCTCCCCACCAAAGCCACAGGAGCGTGATCACTGTTAGTTTCTTTTTCTCTTCCAGTTCCATCACGCGTTCCATCATTTGCATCGGAGACACTGCTTCAATCAGTCTGCTCCTCACCGATTCTAAATTCAGTTCACGCCATACTTGTTTCACCTCCTTGCACTTCAATAACAGGTGCCCGCCATCCTCATCAAGACGATTGCACATGCAGCACCGTGTATCAATCTCCATCCCACTTCTTTTTAGAATCCTTCTAACAGCAAGCATGTTGTGACAGAGCCGCCAAAGAAAATGTTTCACCTTCGGTGGGCAGTCTAATTTCCATAATTTTCTCCAGAATTCGGATTCTCCTTCACTTCCACTCACCCCTGCCCCCACTATTCTTGGCGAACTCCTGCTCTCCACCATTTGGTGCACCTTGTAAGCGGACTTGACTGAAAATCGCCCCTTACTGTCGAAATGTCATCCCACTGCATCCTCCATCTCCACGTGTACAGGTATTGTTCTGATCAAGTGTACGTCCTCCTCCCAAAACACTTGCACCAGCAGTGGTAGTGGTACATTCCGCTGACCAGTATATGGATCAATGAGCTCATCCACTCTTGTGATAATATTCCTTCCCCTTGGTGTGATCGGTTTGCTAGTAACATCCCTCGGCATTCGGCAACCACGGATCACTCCATATTTTCACCTTCGCTCCATTTCCCAGTCTCCACACTATCCCTTCCTTCAGTATATTTTTATTCCTTGGACAATACTTCTCCTGGTATAAGAACAGCACGCCAACGCCTTGGCCTCTAGCACACCAGTGTTCGAGAAATATTTTGCTTTCAGGATCTTGGCACACAAGGAGTCCGGGTTGTTCAAGAATCTCCACCCTTGCTTGGCCATGTTAAAATAGTGCAAGTCTCTGAAACCGAGCCAGCTGATCCAGTGCATGCTATGCTCCTTATCTTGATTACTCCACCAGTACTTAGCAATCATAGTACTCACCTGTGAGCACATCTCCTTCGTTATGTCAAAATATCCCATAGCAAAAATTGGGATTGCTTGTGTGACCGCTTTTATCAAAATTTCCTTTCCTTCTTTGGATAGCAGTTCGTTTACACCAAAATTTGGAAAGAAGAACGCGGGAACTCTAAGCTTCCAAGATTGTGTCAATCAAAAATTCGATTGAATAAGGATCGATATCTGCTAATTCAGATACTGGAATCGACTCTCTGCGAATAACGTCAGCAGATAACGATAATGAGCTACGCTTGGCGTCGGGGAATACATGTCGGACTCTAAAAAAGAAAAAAATTAAGGTCCAAGTTATCTTAAATTAGAAATGTTTTCTTTTATACCAAAGATCGTAAGGAGTCGTACTTGAGTAGGACTCATGCTTAGGCTTCGGGTATAAATATTGGACCCCGGCTATTGTAAAAATAGGATCCAATCAATCAATACAAATTACTTTTTTTTGGCTCCGTGCCAACCCTTAGGAGTAGAAGTAGTGTAGATCTCGGCGAGTTCTTCAACAAGTAGGGCTGCATCGGTCCGGCCGACCTCTGGGTTGTCTGTAAGTATCATCATGACTTATACTTTGGTTCGTAAGGCTGCATCGGTTAAGTTCGACCTCCACTGCGAGCTCTAGTATAAGCTAGTTATCGATCTTTATCTAGTTCAAGTACGGCTGCATCGGTTAAGTTCGACCTTCACTGCTCGAATTAGATTAAGGTCAAGTTATCGGCTCTATCTAAGGGTGGCGTCCTTCGGGTAGATTCATTAAGTTACCGATCTCACTGATGTTTTTACTATCAATAGCTTTTCAGCAACATCAACCTGCCCGATCAAGATCGAACTAGATCGGCCCCATATCCTTTTAGTCCGTCGTTTGCTTTGTGACAATACGATATTTCTTACTTTGAGCGATGGGTTAAGTTTTATTGGTTGTTCTACCTCGATCTTGATCACGCATAGTACGCGGTTAAGGCACGTATGATCTTGAAGAGGTTTGCTGGCTAGTTAAATCTGGTATATAGTTCGCTATTATGGCTGCAACGATCCGATCGATCCCCACTGATGGCATTTTAGATTGGATGATGCTAGTTGTTAGATTTGTTCCCGATCAGGCGTGATCTTAGCTGTTTGCTATGCCTACATCAGCTAAATAGCCGATCGCTTGTACTTTAACGCTCATAGTATGTCTTCATGATCCTGTTAAATATGAGTAGATCCGTTTTCTTTAAAGATTTAATCTGTTATCTTTAATATGGCTGTCATCGATCCGGTCGAACCCCACTGTTAAAGATGATAGGTTAGGTTTGAGGAGTTGATAGGTCTGCTCGTATTGAATAGTCGATTGTTCACATGCTGTGGCCCTTTTTCTATCGGAATTGGCTCTTTTAGCCGATTCGCCTGCGCCTTCACAGATATAGCATGTCTTTTAGAAACCTGTCAGGGTATGGATGGTTTTGTGAATTCTTTGGCTTTACTTTTGTTGGTATCATCATAGCTGTATCGATCCGATCGAACCTCATTGTTGATGATAGCGATTATGTGATAGAACCGCCCAATTTATACAAGATCAAGTATGGATGTCCCCGCTAACACGTTGACACACACATACTTTTACTCATATAAACCCGGTAGTCCGCCGAGTGTCATGAAGGACCTCGGTAAATCAACATCACAACCAAGATCGCGTGATTAAGCAAATACATATCACATACGCAGAGTTCCAGCGAAAATAATATTACAAATGAGTTCAAAAATAATAATACAAGTTTGGGTTTCAAAATCGATTAGTGAAAACAACATAGTGTTCAAATGATTACATTAATATAAGTTCCAAATACATTGCTAGCATAAGTGACATCCTTAGACAAAAGCATATAGATGAGAAGTAAATATAGAATCGCCGAGCCCACCGGCGGTTAGCCACCATCTTCAACAGGCCGAGAACTTCACCTGCAACATGGTGGGATAAACCCTGAGTACTCGAATGTACTCAGCTAGACTTACCCGTCGTAAACCAGAAATAAAGTGACACCAAGGATTATGCAAGGCTTTATTTGGTGGAGCTGAGCTGACAACCTTTTTGTATAAAAGCTGGAGTAATCATTAGCATTATCCACCTATACTAGCAGTGACTTTTAGCCATTTCCTACCATCTATATTAGCACCTGTACTAATCAATCACTTAATTAAGTTGCAAACAATAATAACCATATCAGGTATTTCATGGCTCATAATCATAATAATCATCATCATCATCATTTAACCATATCTTTAAATTTAGTGAATCTACGTTGCCGCTGCTCAGTCAAGTTCTCACTATCCGGGAGAGACGGCGATTCGAATCGATTCCTATCCAGCTGGAGGGGTATTCCTAACACTCACCCAATCCACCTGATCAATAGTTTCCTCGAGTCACCTTTGGTACAACTCAGGAATCGCGATTCTGAGCAGCGCCGCACCCTCAGGGAGTCCACTCTACCAGGTGGTCAATCTCACCTCGGACTTACGTCAATAGCTCCCTGCACATCCTTACTACCGCCAGGGTGCGCACTTTTACTTCCCAGACTTCTGGTCTGAATTGAGCTACTCAGCTTCGCGGTCGAAACGAGTTATCCGGCCAACTAAGTGATAGGCATGCGTTCAACATGACATGAGGACGTACAGCGAATCGGTCCTTAAACGACACAGACGGGGATAGATTCACACCCAAGACCTCCATGCCTTGTTGCTGCACTACCGTCATCCTGTCCGGTCTCTTTTCATTATTAACACATGGTTCTTTTTCATGATAGCAAATATAGCCAACCGTGACCAGAGCTCATCCTACATCTCGCAGGTGACAAGAAATCACCCGACTTCTACCGGTCTAAGCATAGCTAAGCATCATTCGATCCTACACTTAATTAGGATTCATAGGATTTTATCTGAACAAGGTAAGGATATAATACAACAATTGGTTCCAACCAATTCCTATACTTAATGCATCATCAACAATAAAAGATACTCAAGATATTTGTAAAAACATGGGAGACTTAGAATGCTCTGAAGCTTGCCTGAGATCCGACACAAGTCAGTTCAGTTAGCTTGCACTGTCCTGGTGATGTCTCAGGTCCTAGCACTTGCTTAGTTCTTCCATCTTCGGGATAGATCCTCCATACACCGTCTTCGGGTTCGGCTCCAACATCACGTCCTTCACGTGGTTCATCTAGCGCACCTAGATGAGATGCAAGATGCATGTGTATGAATGGTAACACAAGATGCATCACATAAGCATTTAAGACAAACACAAGATTATGCAAGACATAGACACCAATAGCTATTTAACTAACATCACACAACCTATCATGCTAAGATGGTAAAGAAGATGACAACACCAAGCATGACACAAGTTTCCCAAGATCTCAGGTGCTCTAACTCAGTCATCATTCAAGGCATAAGTCACACATAACAATATACAAGCAAACATTATAATTGGAATCTGTCAATTTCTGGACATGCAAATAGCAGCTACAAGATTTAGCTATAACTGGAGTTACACAAATCCAAATGACTTGCAAGAAGACATTTTGGAAAGCTTATGAAATTATATACATTTCATCTATAACCATCACAGCATGATTCCCAAGTTAAGTAGGTCTAAATTATACCTTTACAGAAATTGGTTCATACAAAACAGAGAGCAACAAATCCTGTATTCTAACTTTAAACAGTTGTAACTTAAACACTACTCGGCCAAATGATACCAAATTTTAACAGCAGCTAGACACATAAATTATCTACAACTTTTGTATAAACAAGTTTCACAACAAAGCACATTGTCATGAAGAACTTTGCTAAGTTCTCAGATCTGTCCATAAACCACATCGGCAAGAAAATAATTATTAACTTATGTTGCAAATTCATAATTGGGCAAAACCAACATTATCAACATTTCACACATGACTAAATAACACCAAAAAGCATGGTTCTCACCTCTAAATAAATTTTCTTAAAACATTTCTTAATTTATTTAGACATCAAGGTGTATTTATGAACATATACAAAAAATGCACAATAAATTCTACAAAAATTACAGTAGCTCA